CTTCCCAGTGTTTCAGTCATCTGCAGGTAGTCTGCCCAAAGCAATGATTTAAATATCCTCTCTGTCTACAGTCCAATTCAGTTGCTCCTTTTTTCTGCCCACTATAACAGCCTTATGGCTCTTGCTGTGTCAGATTCCATTTCTGTAGTGTCATCTGCAAGACAGAATATCATTTTAGTCCATCCTTTCTTTCTACTGTTACACTTTAATGTTCTAAATATTTGGGGAGTTTATATAATGTGGTCTCTTGGCTGTTTTTAAATGATAATAACTGAAGCCTACATACACACAATAAATGCAAGATGGAGAATGGGGTCAAACTAGCTCATTTACTATCTGTTTGACTTACATTTTGTAGTCATTAATCTGTGTGTGATCATACACCAGCAGAGTTGGGATTTTTTTACTTCTTAGGAGTGTGTTTGCATAGAGAATGAGTATAGCTTTTCTAGCTCATCTTTAATAGCTCGACCACACTGGGCAGCTGTATGAGTGCTAGAAAAGTTGCCTTATACATTTTGGCTCCATGTGGTGTTTTAATACTGTTGATTGAGTCATTTGTAAGTATATGAGGGAGAACAAATAAAGACATTTACTTTCTTGCCTACCTTTTTGGGCTGGGAGAGCCAGCAAATGTTGCTTGCAGCAGTGAGTGGAGGAGTCTTGGGTTCTAATTGTAACTGTTTCACCATACCTCTTAAGATGTTGTGGTATTTCTTTTGATATCTATGGTTTCTGTAACATGGGAGCAAAATTTTGATTTAATCTCTCTTTTGCAATAACACCTGCATTGATGTTTGTTTATGTTGAACAATTGTTCATACCACATTCTAGGCAACAAAACCAGAAATACCCTACCTCTACATTTCTCCACTTAAGCCTCATTTAAGACAGTGCAGCTCAGTGTTTTGTAAAGGACAGGCTCACATCACTCTTGAGAGCCAAGAAGAGGCCCAAACAGACCTGGTGTTTGTGCACATGAGCTGTGGGTAGGACCTGCTCGCAGGCAGCACATGAAGTATTTTCCAGAAGTCTTATATCAGCTGTATGTGAACAGTGACTATGCTGCACAGGCTTGAAGGGCTTTCTGCAAGCACTGGGTTGGCTGTACATTTTGTTCCAGTGTTTTGGAACAGACCTTCCTATATATAAACAAATGTGCTGTTGCTTTGGGGAGCAAGAGGGTTTGCTGCTGTTGTTGCTGTGACATTGTCCTTCGGCATATGAAGCCTGAAGCAAGAGTATCTGTAGAGTCAGTAGTTGGAGTCATCAAAAGCAAGTGAGTTTTCTGTATCACTGTATTAGTTCTCAAATATAGACTGGCATAGAGCTATTGTGCTTCTCCTGCTCTTGTAGCAGCAGTTTAGTGCATTTGATGTGGGTTTTGGAGCCAAAGAAGCAGAGAGCAGCAGTGGTGCACATAAAATTGTTTCTTTCACATTTTCACTTGTGTCTGAAGACAAAAGTTCTTATCTCCTGCTGTCGTGTGGCAAGTCTCATGATGTTTGCTGTTGTGTTTGTTTTCTTTTTAATCAAAATTCCAGTGCTTGACATCACTAGATTATATATATTTTTTCTTGTATGGCATTGCATAAAAAATTGCAAATATATATGCAAATCCCAAATCAGAATTTCATTTGATGGTTTTCTCACCTTATTTTCACCCTTTCTTGGAGCAATTTCATTTATTTTAACAAGGTTTTTTTTTCTTGATAATATGTTTGGTTGGAGCTGTTCTTCCTGTTTTAAAGCTTGGATTAATTTAAAAAAAGGTACTCTTTAATGGGCCAATGCAGGTCTACAAAAGCTGTATATAAGTGGTTCTTGCTCAAAACATAAGCAGGGTCTAGTTTTGTTTTGTTGTTGTTTTTTTCTCTTGCCCCAAAGCAAAGCCATTAAAAGCTATTTTCACGGAGGGCATCTTCTGAGAACCTGCATATACTTCTAGAAAAGTTTCCATGCATGGGGAATGAGATGCACTAGCTACAAAGAATTTATTATTTTGAAATAATTGCCCAGAAGCTGTATAAATAATGTTAGAGTCTTTCAGTGGAACACACAGTGCAACATCAGCTTGTTTGGAGACCATAACAGTTACCTTGGTGTTTTCTGTGAAAACATGGGGCAGAATTGTGTTTAAGTTAAAGCCAATCCATTATTCTTGGCCTTTTAAATAGTAAACCTCCTTTGTGCAATGTTATTGTAAGTTATTTCTGTAAGTTTATTGTAATGTTAAGTAAGAGAAGTCTGGCTGGGGTTTGAGTCATCTTTTGTAATCATACTGCATTGTTATTCAGTGCATATTTGCTTGAGGTGTCTGCATATATGTTTCTCTAGGACACAGAAAGTCACAGATATGTGATTCAGTAACAACTCTCTTTCTTACAAGTTGATATCAGAGAAGTTCTTCGCAATCCTCATGACCTTGGTTGCACTGATTCAGCTGTTTGCCAGCCAGCCTGGGACTGCTGAAACAGAATCATTTCATAGATTCAGTTCAAGGTCTGACCAGCTTGACAGCTGAAGTGGTACAGCAGCACACAGGGTGAAGGAAGTAGAACTTGGCAAGGGAAATAAGCATCTAGAGAAAAGCAGCAGAGATATTCTAAACTTTGTTGCCAATGGAAGTGTAAGGTAGACTTTCTGATCTGAGTCTGTCATACATGAGAAGCATGCTTGACAAAAGGCTTCAAGGCAACTGCTTTTGATGGCAGAAAGTATAAATTTAAAATGGAAAAATAACTAAATTAGACATGATGAAATTATATATCAAATTAATTGAGAAGGTTGAATCTTTTTTATGCCGCTGATTTTTTTAGATGTCGTTTATTTCACAGCAAGAGATAATTCTTATGACTTTTGACTTGTATTAGCATTACTGTGTTGATAAATCCATTTTCATCAGTGGATATTATTCTGGGAGAACTGAAGAATGGAAAGTCCAACAAGTGCTATAAGAAGCATTTATGAGTGCATGTAATAGGCTGTAACTCCCCGGTGCTCAGGAGAACTTGCTCAGGCTTTTTATACAATGCATGATGGTAAAAGATATCTTCATTGCTATCATTCTTTCTGTTCCTTTGATTCTCAGAGTCGAGCAGAAGGAGCAACATCTAAAAGTGAGTAAAACAGTGCTTGTAATATCGAGAGGTAGAAGACTGTAGAAAAGCTAGTGTTTTACTATGGGTATAGAAAGGAATTGTTATGGATTTTGCTGTACCTTTTTGAAATGGGGATATATAACTATCGAAAGTAAGATAGCTTAAAAAGTGATATAATGTTGCTGGGGACAGTGATCTCTACTCCACAACTTTCTAGCCCAAAGGACTGATATGGAAGATATACATTGGTGGTAGAATTTAGTTTACATCAATCATCTAGTGGCAGTGATTATAATTTTTTTCTTTTATTCTGTGAAAGAAACTCAGGAAGATTAGTAAAACTGATGGTTACACTGCAAGTTGGAGTGTAGTGTGGAGATAGCTGTGCATGCTCTAGGTCAGGAATGGAGAAACAATATAAATGAGCCCTCATAGGACTTGATACTGTAGCAGTTAACTACTTCCCACAGCCTGTTCTGAAGAGAAAGCACTAAGCACTGGACTACAGACTGAAAAGTGAAAAAAGAGTCCATGTGTGACAGATGCCTTGAGGCTGAGTATTGACTGAGAAAAGATTTGAATCATGGGCAAAGTCACCTTTTTTGTTGTTTCATGTGCTCTGTGCTCAGAGACATAGAATTTTTGTGTGCTTTGTTAAACTGGTGTGACTTCATCACAGAAAATCCTCACTACATCATCAACTTCCCTTCATAAATGAAACATTTTTCAAATCTTTGTATTTGTAGCTAAGTACTTTGCAGCAAAACCAGTTACTCTATAATAGCTGCAGTCAAAGGAGTCTGTGCAGCAAACATGTAGATATGTGTGGGTATAAAATTTGCAGTAACAATGCTAATTAAATGCATTGAGTTCTAAGCACTTGCTTGTTTACTTTGTCAGTGTGCATAAACAAGTGCACAGTCTTGAGAATGCAGAAGTCTTGATACTCAAAACAAAGACACTTGGTGGGAGAGACCAATTCTCTTACCATCCTCTTGTCTTGTCTTGTCCCTGCCTGTTCAGCCAGGGATTCTGATTGCTGAGTGAATGAATGCCAGAAAAGAGGTGCTTTGTGCAAACAGAAAGAAAAATTAGTTGAATGTAAGTAGGCAACAAGATTTAGAAATATTCATGTTGCATTTTCTACTGTTTAGGTTTTAAAAAAACTAACAGTGATCACCTAGAAAAAGGAAAAAAATATTATTATTTTACTCAGCTGTAGAACATAGTGTAATTGAAATCTTATTATTTTACTCAGCTGTAGAACATACTATAATTGAAATACACTAAAATGATTATGTTCATTCCAAAGATCTAAATCCAAGAGTCTGTTGTATGCGAAGTATTAAAAGAACTTACTTTAAAATTCAAATGTTCATAAACTCATGTTTAACATATATTATTCCACTTCAAAACACATTAATTCAGTGTATTGCTCTTTCATTTCTTCACCTGAGAAATGCACTCTGCTGTCCAGGAAAAGCCTAGTTATCTCAATCTGTGCAACAGATGGTAGTCATTGTGTCTCCCCCTCCCCTCTCCTGCCCTCCCCTGATATGCAAATGTGGTCTTTGACGTTTATATTTCCCTAATGGGGAGATATATTTCCCTGTTTAGGCTAGTTGTTAATTTTTTTAAAAAAATCTCTATAATGAAGCTGGTAAATCAGTTTGGTAATTTTTATTAGATATCCTCCTCTGCCATAATTAACTAATTATTTACTGAGTGGAAGTTTTATGTTTTGTAAGCCCCTACATTTTCAAAATTAATTTGTAGTGTACTTTAAGGCATTTTCATTCATACTTGCTCCGTTTGCCTTTTATTCTTATGAATAAAACCATCAACACCTCAATAATAATGTAATTAACACTCGCTAGAGCTTACTGCAAGAAAAATCACATGAAGTTACATACAATTGTGGAGCTCACAAAGGACAAAGCTGCCAAAATGACAGCTATGCAGTAATAGATGAAAATGATAAATTCTTCTTTTCTTTGCATTTCCTAACCATGTAGCAGAGTTTTTGTTAGTTTTCCAAATATTTCATCCTTTAGTGTGATTAAGGAAATGGCACACCTGTGGTTGCCCCATATGTTCCTTTCATGAATATTGCTGCTGCTTACTCCATGGTCCTCAAAGAGGATGGGCTGCTTACCTTCACTCGCTGAATCATTTTGCTTCCTGCCTCTAATTGCAGTACCCCTTAGTGAACTCAGGATTTCATTTCTGTATGGGCGTGAGAGTATGGCACTGATTCAGGTAATAACCATGTGTGGATATATCAGCTGAGCTCCTGGTGCCCACCCCAGCAAGACTGTTGCTTGTTCCAAAGATACTTGTCATTCAGTAAGCAAACCTTCAGCTGCACTGCACTTTTGTTTCTGATGTATGGTCACTCCACAGCTGGGAGTTACCTTACTGAGCTTTAAAGATAAGTTAGCACTCCTACCTTTTGGTCATGAGAAAATAATGATGTGATTTCATCACATTTGTATCAATTTATTATGTAAAATGCAAGTAGTAAGCTAATATTAGTGTGACCAGGAACAGAATTTTTGGCTATCCTGCAAATTTCACGCAAGCAAACATTTTTCTCAACCACGTGCAGAGTAAGTGGTGTTTTCTCTAGAAGAAGCTCATTCAAGTCAACATTTTGTTAGGTACCAAATAACCTTTAGAATTATTAGATAAAATATAAAATAAAAAGCTTCAACTAAATTATTCTTACAGCCAAGTAGGGAATCTAGTCAACCATTACTGGCATCAATTCACTGATCTAGAAAATTACTTTAATGCACATATCAATATATTTGCTGATTCCTTACATTTCAGTGGATTTAAAAAATGTTATTGCAGTGAGCCCTCATGATTCACATTATAAAATTCACTAAAACCTTCTATACTAAAACAATTATAGGGTTATTGTAGCATCTTAAGTCGACCTTTTTAAATAAGATATAGTATTTTTTAAGTAGCGATTAGCTGTACAAAAATGAGAGTATTTATATGGAGCTGATAAATTAACTATATTCAAAAGAATCAAATTAAATCAAATTAAACTGTGAATCTCATTCCAAATCTACGAGAGATTCCTTGTGCAAAAAAAGACATTGAAATATTATTTTAAACAAGACAAAAAACATTCAGTTGTTGCATTGACATCCTTATTTTAAACAAGACAAAAAACATTCAATTGTTGCATTGACATCCTTGTTGTTGTGAGGAGGTGGAATTCCTTCCTAAGATATATGCAATTTTTCTAAATGAAAATAATTGATGAACAAAGGTGTTACTCTGTTGGCACTTTTAAAAAGAGACAAAGGTTTCAGTCCAGGTGACATTGAAATTAATGGTAATGCCTTTTGCAAAAATTCAGAAGTCAGTTCTGAGTTCCTAGTTCTGCTGTTGACTTCACATGGGTACATCTGGCCTTTCCCTTTCTGTGCTTTTTGAGGAGTCAGAATTTAATGGGCTCATGAGAGAGGATTAATGAATGCCTGTATCTAAAAATGTGCCTCACAAATGCATAAAGTGAAGTAATTTGGAAAACATTTTTCTGCTGATTCCTTTTTTTTTTTATACAAAATTCTTACCTTTATGAACAGTAAGGGCAACATTTTCAGACAAATATTATATTTAGGTTGAAGCTTTTTATTCTTTGACCACTGGAAATGACAGACCCCATGTTAAATTCCTACAAATAAAAGGGATCCAGAGGTCACAATAAAAAAAGAAACAGACTCTAGAATAAAAATTTACGGATTTGGAATAAATGACTGTTCCTTCCATCTACTGTGAAAGCAAGGTCAAGTGCTAAAAAAAAATGAGTTTTGAAAAAGTTCTTGAGGACAGCTGGTGAATTGAGAAATGTGATTTCCTTTAAATTATCATAGAATCATAGAATAGTTTGGGTTTGAATAGACCTTAAACATCATCTTGTTCCAACCCCTCTGCCTTGAGCAGGGACACCTTTCACTAGAGCAGGTTGCTCAAAGCCCCATACAACCTGGCCTTGCAGTTCAAGGGACGGGCCATTCACAACTTCTCTGTTGTGAACTTCCTGGCCTCTCTTTAAATTTTTAAAATATTAACTTATTCTTGTACCTAAATCCCCTTGCCAGTTTCCATTGTCACAGTCTGCACAATCTGTTAGGGGCATGATGTTAAATGCAACTTGCATTTAGGTATTTCTAAACTTATATTGGCAGAGAAATAGAAGTCTAACACATGAATGTATCTTTCTAATTTACATCTCTGTATTAATCTGAGGTTCAATAGCACAACAGGGGAAGTCTAGGGATATGTTTAAAATGCTCCAGATTTTACATTTAGCTCTATCTGATGAGTGTGGCATTTGTAAATAACCCTTTTAGAGAGGACTGGGAGAAAATACAATCATTATACAGCACCACACTTAGCTGCCACAGCAGCTTTTTCCTGTCTCTGTTGATACATGGCACACATCCAGATATCTGCTGTACTAACATTTGCTCCTGGGAGGAGATGAAGAAAAAGGGGTCCATAAGGTTTCCATTGGCCTAGACAACTGAAACATCTGCTAGATTCATGAGCAGCTTGCTGGCCTAAGCCAGCAGGGAGAACTGCTGCAGATCAGCACTGCCATATCAATAGATATTTCATAGACCATAGGGAGGAAAGAAGAAAGTCAGTAGAGTAAGTGATTTTATTTCAAAGTACACTGAAGTCTAATGTAGTTTTACATAAAGTGATATCTAAATTGCACAAAATTAGAGCAACATCTACAACCAATCTGCATGCAACACTCATTAGGGAAACAGGCACATGAGAGAATAGCAGGATGCAATCCTAATATTCCAGTATCTGTTAACAGGAGCAATTCACCTAGGTTCCCAGATGGAATCTGACCAAAAAAAAAACTCCTGAGAAAACATTCTCTTCACTCAGAAGCTTTCACTAGAAAAAGTCACATCTGTCTTTCTGAAATACAAATAGTGTTGTTGGAAGGGAGTCAGCCATT